TATATTAATAACTGATCATGTGCAGAATAATGACATAGAACTATTTATTTGCCCAGCATTTTTAAACAGAACACTATTGGTAAGTAGCATATATTTTAAATGTAAAAAGGTATTTTAATTTGTTTCAGTACTCAAAACCAGTTGAACACACAGTGGTAATATTTCATGATAAAGAAACAAAGCTAAATGGAAAGTTAATTAATGCATTTAGGTATACAAAATCAAGTGCAATGAAGCACAATAGTAAAATTTTTAACAATAGAAAAGCAGTAGCAACATGGTATTGCCGGATAAACCAAGTGAAGAGACAATATAATAATTGGACAATTAAATATATTGAAGTAATACAAATAATTCAGTTATAGCCAAATAATTCAAACTTTATGCTACACATTATAGGGAAAATCAGTTCAAGACTACAATGAAGAAATTTGTAAGGTATGGTCCTGTACCCATTTATTAAACAAATACTTTTTTTACTTTAATAGCATATTTATTGTCTCATTAATAAAGGAGAATCAAAAGTAAGCTAAAAACAAATGTACAATTTTATTACTTGCTTAAAATGAAAGGAAAATTTCAAACGTATCATGCTAAAAACATGGTAAGTAATTATTTTAAATATTTCAGTGTTTAAATAATAATCTTACTATGATATGAACAATGAAGTTGCAAGACTGCAGAAATATATGACATAAACTTAATATATTTGGAAAATGACAAGAGAAAAGAAATTGAAGATACATTGTATGAAATTAATGAAGGTATACATGTCAATTATAATTAAAATTATTTATTAATGGTGATAATACAGATGATGCTGCAGAGAGCAAACGTATGAATGACTTATCAAAAAGTAAGCTGCCTTACAGGTACATGTACAGAAGTAATCTATTTTTAACAATTGCATGCAATTTTAAAAATAAGTTATAGTACACTGTTAATCTATGTTAACACAATCAATAGTTGGTACAAAAGACCCAAAATACTTGATGCCGGATTATATTAACTCACCGGACTGTGGCAATGATGATGATGATGATTTGTTCACACTTTCAACAAAATGGGGAAAAGAATATTTCACTACACACTATCCATCATTTGACCGTTCTAAAAGTGACAGGTAAATTTAAATTTAAAATGTAGAGGTAAAATTAAGATTTTCAATAGAGACTGCCTGTTTGAAAGAGACTTCATTCGAGAAACAGTGAAGAAAATGGAAGTAAGATTAAATACAAATTTACATCCCAATAATGTTCAATTAATCAGCCCACATTGAGACAAATATATAGTGGTGAATGCATCAGTACTTTTAT